CGGTGACCGCTTGGTGTTTGACAGTTTAATACCTAGAAGTGGTCGGAAACGGGCTAATGTTTACGGTGAATTTATACTTTTTCCAGGTACTAGAAACTTCGACTGCAATTCTGAAAGAAAAAATATAGAAATAATAATTTTTTTCTTATTTCACTCACAAATCATACGACAAATGGCTCCATGATAACTGGGCTTAATGGATCCAAATCAAGTCGTACGTGGTAGCAAACTTAGTACACTTAAAACCAAGATAAGTGCACCCAATTCCGGCCACAGAGTAGACGTAGAACCCATTAACTTGCACGCCAGTGGATTAGCACACCCGTGGTAGATATTTAAATTTAATTTTCGTTTTAAAGAAGGGGGAAGTAGGTAGGATTTAATTCTAAGGATTTTTGCAATCAAAGAGAGAGTAGAATTATATACCTAAGTCGCAGTATATATTGGGTTCATTGAGGTTCTTCTACGTTTTTGTAATAACTATAAGATATACTATGCTAACTAAAAATCGCGGGTAATTCACGTGAAAATACTGAGAAAAGCTCTACTAGTTTCGAGTCACAGAAGGGCTCTTCCTCAGGAGCAGCGTGCGCGATCGTGGCGATGTTGCGAAGCCTACTGGTGAACCTAGTAGAGCTTTTCTAAGTATTTTTACGTGATCTTCTAGTTGTCTCATGTGTCGTCGATTCTGATTTACATTCTTATCCTATCTCCATGTATTTTTCTGCTGACTAAAAACTGTTGAAGCTGAATATACCGCCTGAATGTTCAACGCGATTCTTGTATTTAATATTATTCACTATACTTATTTGTATATGGAACCAATACTGACCTATAGCGTTCAGCGTGCAAAGTGTTTTATTAAATATCTTTTCCTGGGGAATAAGCCATAATTATGTTAGTTCATCATCATATCAACCACAAGATGTCCATTGATGAACATAGGGCTCCCCAAATGACTTTCAGATAGGCTGGTTGGAACCTGCATAGTTACTAGTTTTCTATCTGGTCGCAGTTTTAGGACGTACCCGGGTCCTATTGCCAAGTACCAATGTTCCCCTCGACTTCAACACTAAGAATTTATCGTATTGTGAAATAAAGAGGGATTGGCTGCTCCCTAGCATAAGATTGATCGCAAACGCCCAATTGATATTGACAGGCCAAATTGAAGGTCCATCTAACTTAAGTAGCCCTTGGGAAAATCAGTTTTATTGACTTTGCAACTAAGTCCCAAATCGCCTGCGTGAGTTGGCTCTAATGGAGACTTGTTTTTTTTTTTAAGTCGTACGTCAATATGGTAATTATGTGGTCAAGAACAACTCACAGGTTTTTTCAGTTTTTTTGAATTTGCAGCGTATGATAATAAGGCAATTAAACTAAAATTCTCAATTACTTTGTCCTCAATCGATCTTGTCGGTGCTATGAGGTCAACACTTGCGACCATTAGACCAATGAGGCAAGTTACAAAGACAATTTACTCCAGAACTGAATAATCCGGAAAATAGTTAAGATCTATCCGCAAAATAAAAAGAGCCAATAAAATGAATGGCTTGACTGACCTAAAACACTTTGTAGTTCTTTGTTCGTTCCCAATCGATTTCATTCGATTAAATCAGTCGTTTGTGATACCAAACTACTGGTTAATGCAATAAGAATCATGTTAACTGCCTTTGACAATGTGACTTAAAGACCGGATCAACGACGGTTAAGTATTTTGAACCGTTTAGTACCGGACTTTTAAACGATGGGGTAAACTAACTAAGTGTGAGTAGATTAGGAAAACATGATGATTAACTAGGTCTTTATGTGGTAAGAAACACGTTCCAAGAAAGAACTTTATAGTTACACTCTGCTATTTAGTATCCTAACATATGGTAGCTGTACACTTGAGATTAATCGTTATCTTTAAACAATCTTTGAGGAAAGTCGATGAAAGAAATTACAAACCGCTAACATTGCAGAAATTGACATCTCCCGCTAATGGCCGATATTTTTAACGTCATCAGAACCGATTACTATGTACTAGGCAAACATAGGCTGCTGGTAGCTTCGTAAGACATATTCGCGGTGTCTGGAAGTCGATAAATCACGTTGTGCCAACATCGCTCATTCATTATTAAAGCGATCAAGGTTACAAGGAGAAAAGCCTGATTTTTATTAAAAAGTATTTTATAGATAGCTTCGTATTGTTGAGGATCGTGATGGATTAGTTACCTAATCATTTTGAGTTCGTCATTCATCGTTGTATTTTGTAATCAAGACATTCATTTTCAAACTGCTTTCGTAATTATGAGATCCTGGTACTCCTGATATTTTTGTTTTATTTCAGAAATATTTGCCTTTCTTTGGCTTTATTTCGTAACTAAAATAGCTTCGTTCTATTGTCGTTGCATTTTATAATGAAGAATGGATATTTCACTGTCAGTCCAAAAAATAACACAAATCCACCATTCAAAGTAAAAGAAAACCTAGAAGGACATTTATGACACTTGTCCTTTGGTCGTCTTATCTTAATCGGTTGTAATCCAATAAAAATAACTTTCGACGTAATGGGCGAACAGAAGCTCAGTGCGACGCCTTCGTTTACGACACACGCTTCATAGAGCTAAAGGAGTCTTCATTAGTACATAGTTGACGAGCTCAGTCGAAGTAGTGACGTAATTGCTCAGTGAGAATGTTGAGAGTTTGAGCGATTCGATATTAAGTTCAAATGAGATGGAGTAGTGCAATGAAAGAACAGGATGAGAAATGCTTGGGGTATTTCATCAGTCTTATATTTTGAAACGACAATAAAATAATAGCGTTTCCTAAGTCTTAACTATCAGCTTCAAATAGAAGTTAAAGGTATGGTTATAAAGAGGTTTTAAAAAGAAAACGTAGGTATACCTATAACTCGCGTGGTATTTATCTGGCTCTTGAAGACGCAGACAGCCTATTTGTGTTTTATTTTTTTAGCACATTAGTTTGGGGAAAAAGTCAACGTTTATAGCTATAAAAATATCTAAACAAATATAGTTAGTTTAGTTGTTAGCGATACTTTTTTGTTTCGACGTGAATACCTCTATAAAACAGAGAAAACAAGTTAAACAATTTACATTTTATAACTCTTGAATTTGCTCACGTTTAAAGACCACAGTCTTTTTGTGTGTGTGTGAGTGTGTACTGTGTAGACACATCTAATATATTTAAAAATTAAATGAAATCTAAAACATCTACATGTAGACACATCTACGCAGTATACACTCACACACACAATTTTACTTGAATACATATAAGCAAAATATTATATTTAACTAACTGTCAGTTTTAAATTAAAAAATTGTCGCAACATTTATTAATTGTCTTCAAATATTATGCTCTCCTGGTTACCTGGAACGAGCAAAATGTCTTATGAACAAACTTTTTAATTGATTACGCATCGCTTGAGTTTATGAACAACTTAGTATGGACAGTACTCGATGTTCCGAAGTCTCGAACAATGTCGTTCGTATAATGAGGGTACCAGGGTAGCAGAAGTTCAGGGATGTATTGTGATGGAGCACCAAGTTTAGAGACCAAACTGTGGCGTCTGTGATGAAGGGAATTCATTTCGTAACCGTCTTTTGTCTGTAGTTTGCGTATTGTTGAGGTCCGCTTTATACCTGTTCAATCGAATGTTATTGTTTCTTGGATTTATGATGGTACAAAATTTGTAACAAAAATTGACCTTTCAAGACTTTCAAATAGAGTGGGGTTTCGGGGCCAAACCCTTAGTGGGCTTAGTGATTGGTACGATTTCTAAGGACTGACTAAAAATTTTTATACACTTACTAGCTGACCTGGCAAACTGTGTACCGCCTTAATATTTTTTCTTAACTTTTAAACCTTCCCTGGACTTTCACGAACATTTTAAGATCAAAAAAATTAACTAAACCGGTTAAGTCGTTTTCGAGTTTTAGTCTCGACTAACGACAGAAATTCATTTTTATTTATATAGATTATGTAGCTACCTTAAAAAGTACTAACTAAATAAATATCAGTAGTAAGTGTACGGTGTATTGTTTATTTTCGTTTAATTTTATAGCGATGTTGAATAGAATAGAAGTTAAGATTAGATTGCTTACAATAAATTAGCCCACAGATAAAACAAAACGTATTATTCTTTGATCTTGTCGATTGACAAGTGTGAGTATCGGAATGACAGATTGGCTTGAAGCCAAGTTTATAAACAAAGTTCCGGGCTCGAATCCCGATTCGGAACAATTACAAGTTCCAAATGTAAATATGAGGGCTTGTGTTTATTACCAAAACAAGGGCGTTTTAATGGGTTATTTGTGTATTTATGATCGTTTGAAATGAAATGTATTTCTAGTTTCTACTCATATTATTATACTGCTTTGTGATTGATTTTAATAAAGTTGCTAAAGTCAAAATGACTAAGATATTTTTTGACATTCTTTGAATAAGGATTTCTTATACTATGAATATTCTTTGAGCAGATTTTTTTCTATTTTGTGGTATCCAAACATACTCATCACATCTAGATCCGAAACAACAATTGATTTACAACATTGATTGTTTCGTACGAGAATCGAACCCCCTTGCCAGTTTGCCTAGTTATTAGGTACTGCAAACATGCAATTTTTTTACACTTACGCAAGTTACTATTGACCTACAAAATAAAACGTTTCGTTGACCTTGAATTTTCCACCATTATACTATTTCCATATACCAGGGCAACAGAAAGAGCTAAGCGTTAAGAATCGTAGGAGTAAACTTCTAAGAAACAAGTAGTGAAAAATATTGCATTTTATGAAAGAGAAAACATTGCATTTTGTGTAGTTACTGCACCAGTTGTTTTGAGAACTTTATGATTAAGCTGAAGATATTACTAAAGTGTGAACTTATGAAGTATGTTTCGCTTGGTATCTTGCTCTCTGTTTATAATAATATGTTTGGTTTGAATAATAACATAAATAAATATGAGAGTTGAAGCATTAAGCTTGAAGGAACGTCAGGCGTATCCGAGACATCTTTTGACTCCATGATTGATATTATTCGGGAGTGGGTAGTTGGGCGAGAAGAATGAAATGTCACTTTAGTAGTAATCACAAAATATATTCTGTATCTTAATTATTGTAACAGAAGTACATACACTTGTAAGAAATCACTTTAACACTTAGACACTCCACCGAAAACGTAGCGCTCAATAGATGCTAACGGGTCGACTGCTCCATTCGAACTGCCACGCTCGTCGCAGTCTCGCACCGTCCGCACCCCCACGCCAGCTCTCGGTGTTGCGTCAGAGTGAATGACAACCGACTTTCCGGTAGATGGCGGCAGCGACACTTCCGGTTGACATTCACTCTTAATAATATTCTTAAAATTATAAATGCGCCGTCACGGCCAGACTGACATTAGCACGTCCTCGTGCTGATCTTATTCTCTTGGCGTCGAGTTACACTGTAACAATGGGAAAATAAAACTCCATGGGATTACTGCTTTCACTTCGCTCGTCCTATCCTGACAATATGGACACTATTCTTAACGAATCTACACACACTTAGAGGTATATGCAAAGTTGATACGCTTGACCTCATGCAAGCTAAAACTGACTGAGGCATCCCTTCGACCAGCCATTATCTCCTATAATGACTTGGACCGGACGACCTAGCCTTACTGGCAATCATACGGCGGACTCAGAGTTGCAGCGTCCCCTCAACCAGTCGTCAACTCATTTGACAACGTGGTCCGGACAACTGACTCCTTATTCGTCATCTCATATGACGATTCCTCACTTAAGAGTTGCAGCGTCCCTTCAACCAGTCATCAACTCATTTGACAACGTGGCCCGGACAACTGACTCCCTATTCGTCATCTCATATGACGATTCCTGACTTAAGAGTTGCAGCGTCCCTTCAACCAGTCATCAACTCATTTGACAACGTGGCCCGGACAACTGACTCTGTATCCATCATCTCATATGATCTCATCACATGCACTAAGTCTAACAGCTTCAATCAAACTGATATAACTAACCTTGAAATTCTTCACGCTCAGATGCCGAGAGTGTTCCTGAACTTGCAGTATTAGTACGACCGCTGGAAATCGATAGTGTGTCACTATCACTCTCATTATTATCTGATGTTGGCATACCATCACTGTCATTCTGTTCTACCGCCGTCTCGGCCTCCTCACTATCATCATTGATTAATGAAGTGGCTATTTCTAGTAGACCTTTATGGCCCGCGGGTACCAAACGCAAGTTTTCGTGAGAGTATTTATAAGCACGATTAGATCCATCAATGTTTTTCAGCTCATACCTATCATTTTCTAAAATCTTAGTAATTAAAAACGGACCTTTGAATTTTCTGTGAAGTTTTGTCTGATTACGCTCATTGTTTCTTATAAAAACATACTCGCCTACAGAGAACGGCTTCACGATTGCTTTGCCTCGATTAAACCGTTCTACTTCGGCTGAGGCTGCTTTTACAATATTTTCAGAGGCGTTTTCTCTAATGACGTCTAAATCTGATCGGGGCTCGGGATCAGAATCGAATGCGATTCTTGACATGCCCAAAGATTGAGCTTTAATCCCAAACATTAATTCCATGGGTGAATATCCAGTTACCCTAGACCGCGTATTATTTAAAGCTAATTGCACATCTTGAAGTTCATCTCGCCAAGATTTGTGCGGGTCATTCTCGATCATGGTAAGAATACTTTTCAGGGTGCGCATTACACGTTCTACCTGGCCATTTGCTCTACTAGATCCTGTAGCAATCAGGTGCAGGTCTATGAAATGGTCTTTACAGAAATCTCTAAACTCTCTGCTAATATAGCACCTTCCTTGGTCAGCTATAACGCGCTTTGGCGCTCCAAAAAGGCAGACCGCTTTCTTTATAGCTTTGATAGCACAGGCTGAGTCTAATGAGGGGGTGTATTCAAGAAGAACATATTTGGTAAAAGAGTCGATAATTACCGATGAATATTCTTTCCGATCGCTTTTACCACTGAGTTTTCCCGTAATGTCAATGTGAATGGTGTGCCAAGGGGTGGAGACTTTAGGGATTGGATGGAGTCTTATCTGGGTAGCACCTGACGGACCTTTCGAAGCTTTGCAAACTATACAAGAATCTACAAATTTGCGTACTTGTTTGGACATTTGTGGGAACCAATACTGCTCATATAGTTTGTCTAGAGTCTTTTCAGCACCGAGGTGCTTAATCTCTGTATGGATGTGATTGATTAAGGTCCAAGTAAGGGAACGTGGTATAACGGGGAGCCAATAGCTACTTTTGTGACGCTCGATTTTCCTATAAAGAACCCCTTTTCGAACATCGTAGGTATGGGAAACGGCTTCAGGAAGTTCTTTATTGTTGTGTTTGTTAATTAAGTCCTGAATTTCGTTATCTCTTTTCTGTTCAACTATCAACCAACCCTGGTGGAGTTCAACGAATTGGACTGATTTATTCTTCCTAGATAGACTGGCCTGGGTATAGTCCACAGGAGATTCGTCGAGCGGATTTCTGGAAAGGAAATCGGCATGTTCCATGCTAGTTCCTTGTTTATGGACAATGTCGAAGTCGTAAGCTTGGAGAAAAGCCCACCATCGATGAACTCGGGGTGTGAGGTCGGTTTTAGACTTAGACGCTTTCAGCGAATTACAGTCCGTGAAGACCGTGAAGTGTTGTCCATACAGATAATGTCTAAAATGCTCAACTGCTCGGACCACGGCCAGGGTTTCGAGTTCGTAAGAGTGGTAACGAGATTCAGTATCGCTTGTCCGACGGCTGAAGTACGATATCACATGAGGTAGATTATTACGTCGCTGAATTAGTATAGCGCCGTACCCTTCAGAGCTAGCGTCTGTATGAAGTTCCACTGGGGATTTGGGGTCAAAGATCGTCAAGACTGGCTCTGATGTCAAAATGTTAACTATGGTTTTGTGAATTCTACTATGTTGGTTCGTCCAGGTTATTGGACCCTTAATTTTTGTTAGGGGATATAAAGGCCCCACTAAGCGGGTATAATTTGGAATGAAGCGTCGAAAATATGAAGCGAGACCTAAAAATTGACGAACTTGACTAGCTGTTTGTGGAGTAGGTGCGTCAGTTAGTGCTTGTATCTTTCTAGGATTGGGAGTTACTTGCCCTGATTTTACGACATAACCTAAGAAATTTACTTCGATTTTCATAAATTTACATTTATGAATGTTTAAAGAGAAACCGGCTGCAGATAGGGCTTTCAATGTGAGATCTAAACGCTCAAGACCACGTGCGATATCATCAGAATAACAAAGGACGTCATCCATGTAAGCTAATGCCACCGTATCTTTTAGTGAACCTAAAGCTTTGTTAATACACCTTTGATATACTGATGCGGCATTTCTTAGGCCAAAAGGCATGGCGAGAAACTCATATTGCCCCTCAGGCGTTACGAAGGCTGTACGAGCTACGCTGTCTCCTTCAGGATCCATCAGAATCTGGTGATAGCCTGATGCCATGTCCAATGACGAAAAATAACAAGCACCATGAAGACGATCTATCTGCTCATCGATTATCGGTAAAGGGTAATGCTCTGGTCGGGTATTAGCATTAAGCTCGCGGTAGTCTACACACATTCTATCAGAATTATCTTTCTTCTTAACGAGTAATATCGGACTGGCAAAGGGTGACGTGCTTTCACGTATGACCCCCGCTTCTAAGAGGCGTTGTATTTTATCTCTAACTATATCCTTTTCTGCCGGTGATAGCCTGTATGGACGTCGCTGTACAGTTTTATGCGGGTCAATTAACTCTATTCGCATGAGGCCTGTAGAAACGCGACGTATTGGTATGCCTTCTATAAAGAATTCGCGGTATTTTTGTAATAAATTGATAAGCGCTATTCTATGCTCGCCTTGTAAATCTGTATCAATGTCAGAGAAATCATATTGACTCAACTGTTCAACAACATTAACCTCCTTGCGTAAAGAGAAGTGAATGCGTTCGTTACTAATATCGACACTAACATTCTTGTCTAAAATATCCCTGCCAATGATAACTGGTTCACTAATGGCAATGTTGGGAACTACATGAAACAACACGTCTAATTGAATGCCTTCAACATTGATGGAACTAAGTATCTGCGAGTTACATATCACTACATTATTATCTCCTATACCCGTGAGATGTACAAGTTCGTTAGTTATTGTACCCGGTAGTTTAATAGCCATATCGGACGCTATCAATGAACAGGCAGAGCCACTATCGAATAGAAAAGAAACGAGCTCACCGGTGGAAGTGGTAAAGATGCCTGTGGCTGGCCTCCGCTCACAAAGGTGTACTTCTCTGACCGCCGGTGTCTCCTTGTTCACTTTGCGATCCGGGCATACCGATGCAACGTGCCCTTGTTGACCGCACACGTAGCAGACGACAGGGCGCGACTGAACTTGCGTCTTCACTGATTGCTCAGTTGTCTTCGAAGTTGCTCTGGTGACAGGGGCTTCGCGGCGTTTACGGCAGTCCACGGCTCTGTGACCTGATATTCCGCACCAGTGACACGTTCCAGAAAAACGTGTTTCGTTATAGCGGCTCCTTTTCGCTCCTGATTCATAACTATCCTGCCCTTCGTATTTACGCTTTAACGAAATACCATTGAGAACTCGTAACAACTGAGCCCTAGTAGATACATTACAAGATTGCAGCTCACGTCGTATAAAATCATCCTTTCGGCACAGCACAGACGCAACAAATCCCGTGATGACGTCTTCTGCCATTTCCGTGCGAGGTATACGCTCAATCATGCTCCAGACACGTGTTGCAGCTTCACTTGCACTTTCTTTTGAACCAATTTGGAATCTTAATATCTCATCGAAGTAGTCCTGCGGTAACATTGGTCTTCCAAATTTTGCTACAAGCAACTCCTTTATTTGCATCCATGTCAATTGCGTAGTTTTCAATTTGGTCAAACATGTAGCTGCCCGGCCTCTTAAAGCGTGTGTGAGCGTTAACAAAAGTTCTGCACCGTCTAGTTTTCTGCTGTTCACAACTATTTCTGTTATCTTGCACCAACCTTCTATGTCTGCATCTTTTTCATCCGGGTCGAACCGCACTAGTTGCGTTGCCATGCGGTTTGTATCTTCCGACGAAACCGGTGTCTTCAATAGGCGAGATAACAACGCTTCCATGCTGCACAGTAAACTGCGCGACGATGCTGCGTGCGCATTACTTTCTTCTCTTTGTGAATGCCCTTCGCATCCCACTTCTGATGAAGGAACGTCAGGCGTATCCGAGACATCTTTTGACTCCATGATTGATATTATTCGGGAGTGGGTAGTTGGGCGAGAAGAATGAAATGTCACTTTAGTAGTAATCACAAAATATATTCTGTATCTTAATTATTGTAACAGAAGTACATACACTTGTAAGAAATCACTTTAACACTTAGACACTCCACCGAAAACGTAGCGCTCAATAGATGCTAACGGGTCGACTGCTCCATTCGAACTGCCACGCTCGTCGCAGTCTCGCACCGTCCGCACCCCCACGCCAGCTCTCGGTGTTGCGTCAGAGTGAATGACAACCGACTTTCCGGTAGATGGCGGCAGCGACACTTCCGGTTGACATTCACTCTTAATAATAATCTTAAAATTATAAACGCGCCGTCAAGCTTTAATGCAGTTGTATAAGTAGGTTTCAATACGTCAGAATTGTGGATCTATATACATAAATATTTTTTATGGAATAAACCGGTAAACGAACAGACGTATCACGTGATGGTAAGCAATCAGCGGACCTCATAGACATCTGAAACACCAGAGACGTTACAAGTGCGTTACCTACCGGCCTTTTGGGAATTGGAAATTAAACTAATATCTTTAGATACCTAGGCAAGAAATTAAATTCAAATCGAAGAATTCAAAACCGCTCTTTGCTCTCAAACTTGCTTTTAACAATGTTAAAAATACAAATTGGTTCATAAAATATTATACTTAACAAAAAATAGGAAATTCATAACGGACTTCGCCATGACGTCTTAAGAAAAAATAAATAGTTCGTATTCCGTATTTGAATATCGTTCGTGCAGTCGAAGAAACTGTTTTAATATCTTTCGCAACAAGTTTTTCCAAGTTATATTAACTTTTTAAAGGAAATGTCATTCCATGGCTGTGCTAAAGTGAGTTGGGAATATACTGTATCTTCTGTCTCTTTCCTAAGTGGGTTGAATATCAAACAGGATTTCATGTAAAGCGACTATTCATCTCATTACTTCACTAGGAAAACATAGAATAGTTTAGACTAAGTGGCCAAATTTTCTCGAAAATTAATTTTCACAACGTGGAAAACAAATCTCAGAATTTCCTAAAATGTATACACGGAAACATGATTTATCCAAATTATGCCCACCGCTGCACTTTTATATTTTAACAATAATATTCATAAAAACACCAACTTCATTCCGAACATAGACATTAAACCGATATTATTTCAGAAACTTTCCACGTAATATGCTACACACGATCCGAGTTAAATTGAACTTTAGCACTCATGAAATACAGTCTACTGGGTATGCATTTTGAAGTTGGTATAATCCAAGTTTGCCGCGAGCTAATAGTTTTCCAACTAGCATCCGTGTTCGGAGACGGTATCTTATATCGAGATAGTGGAGAAATTGAATTGACTTTACGCTTTTGAGAGTAGAAAGAAAGGAGTATTGGGTGAAAGTTATCCACAGATTAGACTTTGAAGTGGCTTTGAGCTCAGATAATGCTTTGGTAGCCTATTATGATGTTAAAATCTGTATTGGATCTTTGCTACAACAAGTATTTGGCTTGTTCTTAAACATTGCCTCTGTTACCCTAGTAACATGTAGTGGTTTCGTTATACCCAAAACACTTTGAGGAATTCACATTAACCTAAAATATTTGTTGCTTTCTCTTTCTGTTTTACATTAGTTAGATTTTTCAAACTCAAAATTGAATGTGCACCTAATGTCGTGTGAGTACTAGGCAAGCATAAATGTAAAGCACTAAAGGTTTGTTGTAGTTGACTGTGAGGAATGGCCTCGTTGCTTGTATTGAAACCTGTCAACCTATCCAGTTGGTGATGAATAGCTCTAAACTTCCTCTTTACGTAGTCTTTTTGAACTTGAGAGTGAAGTCATATTTCTATAGCAATACAAGTTAGTGACTTAAAATTATGATTATATTTTGTAATCATAAAATTGTTTTTGATTTTTAAGAATAGATTAACACGTATTTATAAACGTTTCCGTTTAAATTTTTAGTTACAGTATTTCAGGTCTAATATTGTCTTTTATCTAACGTCGACTTGACTATTCCTATAATAATATTTGTCAGATGAATGAACTCCTATTCTAAAATGATGGCAATAGAAATAGATTTCTATGACAGTTAAAATGGCTGAGCAGTAATTTATGACCAGATCTGAGCAAGTTAGTACCAGGATTTCAGAAACGTTAGGAAATTGCAGCTCACCGGTTGACAGTGAGGAATAGCCGCGCTACTTTTGAAACCCTGTCGTCACGTGATGAATCGCTCACATGACTTCCTTTATACATAAACTTTACATTACTGTTGAATGCTTGAAAAATAGTCGCAAACACTGGAGACTTGTATCGTGTTACTTTCAAAAGAGGTGAAATAAAAGAGTTACGCTCTTGAAAAATACTTTAGAATAATGTGGTGCTTAGTTATGTAGTTGGTCTTTTGGGTATATTTCATTTTATTGATAAATCTACCAGTACCTCATTTCTTCTCGTCGGCGTCGTAAGACCATGCTGCTGCAGTCTCTGATAAACCTGTACTTTTTTTGGGCAAGCCTGTCACAACCTCCCAATACCACTGCAACTCCTGTAAGCCAGGATCTTTAGTAGATACAACTATGAAAACACCGAAACACTGAAGTCCAGCGTGTCCCAGTGAGATGAATTTAACTGTCTTGGTGGGTAAACTTGCACGAATTATAGTACGAACTCAAAGGAAGAAAGAAAAACCTTCAGTTGCGCTATGATATACAGGATAATAAAATATGTCTAATCAGCCTGCCAATTAGGTACTTTTCTTAACGACTTAAAATTATTTCGACAGTTAAATACAATAAGAAATTAAAAAATAATCACACTTTCAATAATAGATTTTATGACCAACTTCGTTTTAGTATTTTCCGGCAAATTTTTAAGAAATAAGTAGAAATGAGTCTGGAAATGTGTCCGGTATATGGCAATAGGCCCCTATTACATGGGACTCATAATATAAATAGTGAAAAGTGGGTGTTACACTGTACACTGTACAGTGGCATTAAGTGCCGTAATTTGCACCTCTGCCTATCACTTTGGGAATAAAAAGGAGTGATGTTATGTTATGTAAATACGTTATTTCAAGTACATACTCGAAGCTGTCGTCTTTTAATAATGGATCTATAAGTCCCTCTTTTCACAACGGGTGACCGAGTGTCACTTAAAGTTTTGAGGAGCTCTTCAATCTTGAGAGACAACTGTTGCTTTGTGCAACAAACCGTATTTTGTTTTAGATGTTTTAACAACAATAATCGTGAATCATCGCTACATAGTATAAAACAAAGTCACTATCCGCTGTCTGTCTGTTCGTATGTATGCTTAGATCTTTAAAACTACGCAACGGATTTTGATGCGGTTTATTTTAATAAATAGAGTGATTTTTAAGGAAGGTTTATATGTATAAAACATATGCATATTGCACCCGTGTGAAGCCGGAGCGGGTCGTTATCTATATAATAACATAGTCATGATGATATTGATTCGGTCCACTAAGCAACTAAAACAGTTGGTGCGGTGGCTGGACAACTGGCTGCCGTGCAATGTGCCGCGGGTTCGATTTCCGCACGGCGCAACTCTGTGTGATCTACAAAATATTGTTCCGGGTCTGGGTATGTGAATTTGTAAACGCACCCGTTAAAACACATAAAACACGTTGCCTCATTCTAATGAGGCAACGTGTTTTATTAAAAAAAAAATGTGAAAATTGGATTTTACATTGCGTATAGTGCATATTAGACGTAACTATTTTAACAAAATGATTAGGATTTCTTTAACTCTATACTTGAGAGTTTCAAAAAAGAAAAAAACCCCAATTTACCTCGTGTTTTCGTAATTCGTGTTTGGGATTACTAAGTCAATGATTATTGCGCATTAAACAATAATCAGTTACTAATCCACAAACGCATCACTCCACATTATTCAATACAGCATGATCCAATAATTATTATTGAATATAGAGGGTGTCCACAATCCGATTGAGCGTCACCCACCCAATAATTTGCAACTAATTGAAGCGTAACAAACTGACCTGTGATTCGACCGTGATCCGTTAATTTCCAATCACTGGGGCGTCAGAAATCAGTTGATTGGTTGTCCACCATTATTAAGTCATGTGACGTTTGACAGGAACAGTGTTTGCTGTCATTTTAGTGGGCAATTTGAATTGGATGGTAATTGTGATAAGATTGTTTGAGCATTGATTGAATGATGACGATTGTTTGTTGACCCAATGTTTTAATTCATTTTTGTTGGTAGTTTAGTCGTAGTGGACAACCTATTTTACAAAATTATAATAATGGCTGTCTTTGAAATCCATTTAGCTTAACAAAATATTTTTACTGTTGTTCCATGACATGTTAGTTTTGCAACTTTGTGGTGTTGGAAAATACAGGTGTACCTCTACATTACAAATCAAATCAAAATTTTTGTAATACTAACTACCATTTCGCTAGATATGTTTAGAAGACCCATGTAACAAAGGACGATTTAGCTTATGCCGTACATCGAGTATAATCCGTGGCATTTCTGAGAATGATAAAATAATGAAAAAAAGTGCTGTCAAAACTTTGTTCCATCTGGGATTAACCCAGAGCCATTTTTTAGACCTTTTTACAACAGAGCACTCAAAAAACCAAAGTTTATTTTTAATATTTATACAACAAAATTGCAAGGACAAACGGGAAGTACTAGGGTCGCATAAAAGCGTGTCACAACCCTGTTTTACAAGCTACACAACTGTCACCCTTAAGTGCAGGTATTTCTTAAGTCTTTTTAATTAAATTTCTCTGTACGTAATCCCCGGCTTTGTTCAAACTCTTAAATTAATTTTGTCTGCTTTTGTTTTAAGTTGTGGTTAAGACAAAACGTAGTGATTGGTCTGTTTGTTGTGTTCTAAATGTAAAGTTACGATTGATACGTGACGGGGAAGGCAGAGATGCTCCTGCTAAACAGCTCCCTTTCGTCAGTTTTCTATAAGAAAACTTAGGACAAAACTTACATTGAAATTATTTGGTGATACTCGGGTAGTATTTGGTCGCCCAGGCACATATCAAGTTAATGGACTTCTTCCTCTTTTGACCTGCATGCAATGCCACGGGAAACAACTAGTACGTAAGGTAAGACTGCACGGTTGGTGTGGTGGCTGGGCAACTGGCTGCCGCGCAAAGAGGTTCGAATCCCGCACGGAGCAACGCTTTGTGTGATCCACAGATTGTTGTTCCGGGTCTGGGTGTCATGTATTGAGTATGTTCACGAGTATGTTTGTAAACGCACCCACGACACAGGAGAAAATCTTAGAGTGAGGCAACGTTCTTTTTAAAAAAATCTGATCAAGTTTGAGACGGACTCGTGCACGAAGGGTTCCGCACCATAATCTATAAAAGATGATGACGTTTGTTGTATGGGTCAGAATAAATGTTTAAGAGCCTACGTAACCGTTTATTCTATTCTGTACACATCAAGACAGACGAATGGACAGGGAAGTCTTAATAATAGGGCCCCGTCTTATTCTTTGGATGCAGAAAAGTTTAAAACAATTAGCAGTCATTTTGTCTAGGTAATTACTTCCCCCTCGAACGTTCGTTGAGATTAAAAGAAACGGCCCACTCAGACTGGATCAATTTTACCTTCCTTTGATGTATCTAAACTCCTTTGTTAATTTCTTCATCTCTTACCAAAATGTTTTTAGATTTCGAAAATCTTATTACTTAAGTGGCTAAAATGGTTTTTATTTTATGAACGAAATATTCTAAATCTGTCTTTTAGACTACCTAGGTATCTAAGGATATCTTTAGAAGTCTTATTTACACAGGAAATATTTCACTAAGTAGATACGAGTACTAGTTATTGTTTACATATATTTTTGGTTTAACGATCAATTTGGTTTATTAACTATCAATTTAAATGACCTATTTGAATTCAAAATCTATGGATAAGGGTCGACTTTTGACATTAGTTTTCTCCATACAACAGACCACCACGGATGGGGTCCAATACGGGCTGATGCCGATACGGAGCCGCGGAGAATGTAAAAGGTTACCGGGGTTCCGGCTCGAAGTGCAGGAGTAGGAACGGAGCGATTCGTAGTCAATAAGAGACTGACATTCCCTCCAGCCTCGCCTTGGCGGGAGTAGCCATTCGATGATTTTCCCCCCTTAAACTGTCAAACACCAAGCGGTCACCGGTGACCGCAGCCTATTGTTCTATAATTGTGTCTACAAAACCGGTACTCGACGAGTTAAAAATAAGGCCTGGTAACCCGTTAGGTTGTCCGCAACTCCGGGTATCTACCAGTCCCTTATGGCGATAAATGCAACCGACACTACCAAAAGTCCACATAGAGGATAAAGTCCTCTAGTTCAAAACGTTGTCTAAAAATTTTTTTCCTTTGTTTCAGGAACATAAGTGACGTGTGCTTGCTTACAATGATCGTGTCTATGTGACGTAAGTTGGTTGCGTGTGCGCAGTGGATCAGTGACGTAGTGAGTGACAGTTGACACAAGATGGCCGACCCTGACGCGTTCGACGACGAGGTATGGTACCTTCTAGTTTTATATATAAACAGTTGATTGCAATATCGTAGTAGGTAAGTACATATGTTCTTTTTCATTGTTCAATATTATCTGACAATAATGGAATGTAAAACTGTAACAAAAGTAAAATTATTGTGCAAATATGATAATTGTAGTCATAATTTGGCTAGTAAGGCGGTCTTATGGGATGAATGCTAATTTCTAAGCACCGTCACAATGTAGTCATATTTCATGATACTCACTACTTTAGCACACTAATAAAGTAAGCCCTGGCCAGACAAAAATCACACTGGCCTAATAATAGGAGAAGCAGTTGTAGAGAAATAATAGTGACGAGAGGTAATCGGATTTCCACGTGTTACTTGTCAGAGCAACTCCTAGTTTTGCTGGCTTCCTGGTAAACCAGTTCATTTTCATACACATACATACATCGTATGTAGTTATATTAACTTTTATAATACAGTAACATTGCAGTTCTCTAGTTATTTAAAGTTAGATTAACCCGTCAACTGTTTGGTAAATGTGTAATGAAGTTATGCAACCAAATCGTACCATATTACACCGTCCCCACTTATTGGGCACTATTCCAATTTTGAATAAATAACGGTTTTTTGTTAGTTCGGAATTCCGTTTTGTTTCATAAAGAATTCGGTTTTTATTCGTGCTGGCTGGAATACTGAATTAGCGAAAAATAAACAATTTTTGAGGTTGATTGCCGGTTTTATTTAGCTGTAAACAATGACTGGAAAACGCTAAACGTTTATTTTGCTCACCCAAACTAGTTTTCTTGGTGCGTGCGTCATTCATAACATTTTAAAAATACAATGATTTAGGATTTTTCGAAATACGAGTTTATTGTTTGTCTTGCTAGATGAGTTATAATTTTACAATAATTCATCATAACTGTTATTTTTCGAATGAATAGCCAGCAAAGATAATACACCCACTATTTAATCATTTTAATGGTGAGTTTTACACTATTGGAGCAATTTTAAAACAAAACAAAAACAACTAAAAGCTCCCCAAAACTACGGTTTACTCGTTTAATTTAAATAACACATGTAAACACAGTCAATTAAATCTCAATTAAACTTTATTCTACAGTTAATACAGTTTATAGAAAAAACTCTTTAGTTGAAAATCAATACATAGTATAAAACAAAGTCGCTTTTGCTGTATGTCCGTATGTATGCTTAGATCTTTAAAACTACGCAACGGATTTTGATGCGGTTTTTTTTAATAGATAGAGTGATTCTTAAGGAAGGTTTGTATGTATAATACATGCATATTGCACCCGTGCGAAGCCGGGGCGGGTCGCTAGTAAAGAAATAAAAGAACACTATACACGGCAGTTTCCATGTTCTAATTTTAAAAGCACGTCAATTAAAAATATATTGGCAGAGTAGGTACACAGCGTTCGTCGGTTTCGCGCGCTTTTTTATTCAGCCATATTTTCGTTCTAACTGCGTTCCGTTCAAGTTTTTTATTTTATGGTAGAAATATATTTGCAAAATATGACTTTTATTTTCGAGTTAGCATTTTATTTGATTCAAATTTTAACTGTGTATCGACAAACGGGAAGTGATGCTGCAGAAATTTTTTATTGTATTTTTGTTTTGTCAATTTTGTCACTAATTGAATTTTCTAACATTTTTTATTGCAAACATTGATCGGAAAATAACCATTTTAAAAAGAATATGCAATCTAATAAAATCAAAACTGCACCGTCGAGCTAGAACAAAAGGATAAAACCGCATCAGTATGCACCAGGCATACATAGATGCATGAATGTGAGATCTAACAGGTGAATGTATATTGCACCAAGTGCTTTTAGAGACGCCTTAGCACATAGGAATGGGCAAATCTTTATTTATAGAAATGGAAGACACTGTTAATGGCGTACTTGTTTATTTTTTTTCGTAATTCTGGGCATATGCTCATTTTCTTCAAAAACAGTTAAGTATTTGTTATTTTAGGCAACAAATCGGAAATCTAATGTCATTGTTTTTAGATTTATGAGACCCACTGGTCTCTCTCTCTCTAAAGTCTTCTCTCTTCAAGACTTTAATTTAGTTTAATGTTTGATAGTAGTTCGACTAATAGGAACGATCCCATATCAATATGGCAGTGACAACACTATCCAAAACTTGTTGGGCAGTAAGCAAATCAACTCTTGAAGGTAAGCTATCCTTTTGAGGAATAAGGGAGATGAAATACTACAGGATAATTATGCTGTCCTAGTACCTAGAAGTTTACCAATTAATTCATTTAAATTAATCTAACACAAATACTCTTATGTTATGTATGTATCTATGTACAAATACTCTTTTAATTTAACTGTAACAACTTTTCCTCGTCAGGTAAATAAAACAGTTGCTATAGTGATTAGAAGGTATAATAAAATATAAAGATATACGATCAAGTGGGTTCTTTAATATTCACTAAGACCAACACGTGAAAAGACCATCAAACAATACCACTGCCCTGATAGATCGGCGAATGCTTTGTCGGCCACTAGGGTAGTCCGGTGGTCGTCGTAGCGTAGATGGTAAGTTGTTGTAGGGTAGTCCAAATAATATCAGCGAAGTCCGGCACCGGAGCGGTGAACCCTGGAATAGTGTAAACCTTCCACTTTAACACTATCCTCAATATTACATGACTGCCACACCCCTATGTGCATCCTACAAAAGCGGCGTGATACTACGAGGCACAGGTGGTAAGGATTACATAAAATAGTGATCAATGATGAGGCAGTCAATGTACATAAAAGCAGCAGAAAGATAGCCAGTATAAAAATATATGACACTACAAGCTACTAATTGAACAAACACTAATTTATAGCAAGGTAGTTTAATGAGAAAATGAGCCCAACGCATATTTATAAGATTTACAATTGTACTGAGATAGCCTTACTTAATAGATATAATTTTGCAACACTTACCCGATTCGGGGTGAAAACGATACAATCAATTTTTATAAACTTCAACAGCCGCGCAAGTACTAGATATATGTTTCGATGGATAATACTATGAAGTAATTCTATATTGAATAATCTTGACTCAATATACCTCTAGTAAACGTAGGTAGAAGAAAATAATATTTAAGTAACGCGGCACGTCCGACCTCAGTGTCGTCCAGTTAGCTCTGCCACAGTTAAAATTCTACCGCGCGCGCTGCCTATCGATCCCTCCACGCGATCGCGTCGTGAACTGCTAAACATACTGTGCCTCCCGAGTTTGCTTATGAATTAATATTTAATTGGTTTTAGTTCATATTAATATTTTTAATTTGTACAATAATGTAAATAGTAACTAGCGTTAACTTTAGGAATTAAGTACTTATTTATTTTAGTATTATTTTGAAGTTTGTTTCGAACCTGAAGTGAAGAAATCGTTACATACCCCCTCTTTTAGGTAAGGATTTTTCCTAATAAAATCCTCTAAAAATAAAACTATGTCAGCTTAAAATCTTTTACATGCCAGGTACCTAAATTATTGCCTTCCATATCCTCAAGATCATAGACAAGTTTAGATTTTTTTTGGACGATACGACATTTAATGAACTTCGGGGCTAGTTTCTTTGAAAATCTATTATCTTTGTCGCTTTGGTAAAACGTTCGCTTCCAAACTATATCCCCCACATTGAATTCAACGTTTTTCCGACGAAGATTGTAATTTGTGCCAAACCTAGAATGCGCTTTAATGAGTGCGGCTTGGACTTTATCAAATATTTTACTTAGATAGCCACAGTTTTCAGCATATGCATCACGAGGTGCAAAAATGATGTGATCTTCTATGTCAGAGTCTATGTAATGCGATCCGCAGCTAACTAATTCGCGACCGAAAACCAAAAATGAAGGTGTGTAGCCTGTCACTTCGTTAACTGCACTGTTTAAAGCAAACTGAATTTTTGGCATATAAGTGTCCCAAGATCTATGATCGTTTTCTATAAAGGAGGACACAGCAGTAATAATTGTTTTGTTATACCGTTCTACTGTGTTAACCTGGGGCGTATAAAGTGGAGTATAATAGACGTTAGGAATATGGTAATTAACGAATAAGCTTTTCATCGTATTACTTATAAATTGTCTGCCATTATCCATTAGTATTGTACTAGGTATTCCATGTATAAGGAATACTTTCTCTTCTAAGATTTTAGAGATGATATCAGCTGTAGCACGTCGTATAGAAAACAATAGACAATACTTGGAGAAGCAACAGACAACAACTAGCAAAAACATATTTTGATTCCTGGTTACAGGTAAGGGTCCGACAAGGTCCACACTTACCATTTGGAATGGTCGAGAACAGTCTTTAGGCCGACCCATTGTACCAAGAGTGGTGTGGTTTGGGTATTTGTATGACTTACAGATATCGCAATTTGAGATAAAGTTGGATACATCACGATGCATGCGAGGCCAAAAATATTTCAAGGATAACCGCTTATACGTTTTAAAAATACCTAGGTGTCCGGAAGTGGGTTCAGAATGATTTAGGGAAATGGTAAGTTGACGCCTGTCCAGTGGTATCACTTCTTTCCATTCGAATTCTCGTAAAAGTGGATTAATTGATTTTATATACCGGTACATGTTACCGTTTTTGACTCGATAGTTAGGAAAAGATGCTGGAGAATTAAGACATCCATTGTAAATTTTTGAATACCAAGTATCATTTGTAATAGAGGGAGCAAAAGTTGGTTCATTAGTCGTATCATTAACTGCAGATATAGGAACGGAACGAGACAAACTATCAGGCACTACATTATCAGCACCTCTTCGGTGTCTGATTTCAAAATTATAGGCTGAAAGTCGAACCCCCCAGCGAGCTAACCTTCCGGTAGGATTATTAAGGTTAAGAAACCATTTTAATGAAGAATGATCTGTGAAAACTGTAAATTTCATGCCGTTTTCTAGGTAGCAACGCCAGTGTTCAATAGCAGCAAGAACAGCCAAGGCTTCGCGCTCAGTAGCACTATAGTTACGTTCCTGTTTGGTCAGAGAC